AGCAACCCACGGCATATGTTAGCCGTTCCTTCTGACATCCAGCTCAGCCCTGGTCTGGGACAATAAAAGTTCGCTGCAAGGGGGTCTGTGTTTGCCCCAGTTTTGGGACTCATTTAATCGCACTAGAGGATTTAGTCTGTTTAACGGTATCTGTAATGCCAGGCATTACGTGAAAATGGGTTTTTTACACGCACAATACTTTTGGCTTTACCACACACACACGCACACAAATTCATATGTGCACGTGGTTGCTGTCGAAATTGGTGAATGTGAAAGCCAAGGCAGTGTGTAAATAAGGCAGAAGAGAAGCTGCAGATTGGTGCGCGCTTGCCGGCTAGGGGTTTGGGCTACTTCGTATCATTTCTATCTTGAAAAAGAAAAGCCCGCCCTGCGATCCGGCGTCTTTTCTCGCCTCCTCACCAACACTGCTCCAACACCAACACTGCAAATGCCTCGTGGATGCTGATTCCACTAATGATGACCAGTACCCGATGCCTTCTACGTGAGTCATCACAGCTGCGAAAATTCACTGACATGTTGTGATAAGCTGTCTGAAGTCACGACCTTACAAGAGTCATTATTGACGTAAATGATTCATTACACGAAATGGAGGATTTCACTGCCGTTTGCGAACACTCAAGTGAACGAAGCAGCCCACACCCCTAGTCGACTGCCACACGTAATTTTACTGTGTTCATAAACGCAGATGTTCCAGTCATCGAAATTCCTGCCCGCTCCTACTACTATGGACTTCTTTTCCAAGGTTTGTGATCTTGATTTCGAGGTCTCAAATGACATTTTACCTCACCATTACACTTGGCCGTGACGTTGTTTAAGGCCATGGCATGTGGCCACGAAGCCGAGTAGTATTGGTCCGATAAGACAACACAGATACCCGGCAAGACTGAGAATACCGGCGGTGGCGGGATCGCAACTGTTTACCTGATTGCGTGTGTGCATCCAAAGTAGCGTATGTCAAATAAAGTTGTTGACCACTATGGTTTGTGTGAACTAGCAAGAATGCCAATGGCTGAGTGGATAGATGAGTGCAGGAAATAGCACAGAGGTGTATTAGCAGACGGTTTCGTACAACTGACGATGACGCCGTGAAAAGGGAGGGGAGTGTTGGGATACGCGGTGGTAGACTTGATGGATGTGAATCAGCTCGATTCACTACAGCGTCATTTATGTATATTACCCTTTGAGCTTTTCCTAATGGGTGCAATTTACATAACTACGAATAATAAAGAAAATGAACGTTGAATGACTCAATGTTTTTTTGGCGCCTTCAAAGCTGCAATACTAAAAACCTACCCAAATATAATGTAATATATCTCAGTTAAATTTGAATTAGCTCACAAGTAGATGCATAAGTTGGACTCCTGTCCATGTTCAAAATCCTGGTGTTCCAGGTTAATGGAGTTCTGTTGCATTCCCCTTATGAATTCGAGTTTCATAGCTAAACAGTCATCGCCACGTCGGACGACACCAAGAACATCGAGTCAACAAATAAGAAGACATTATTTTAAAGGACAATTAAGACTGCAATTAAGCAAGTAGCTGATTCTGTAATTCGTTGAACATATAAATAACTGAACCCTTGGATCGGCTGAAAAGGATGCTTCAAGCATTTATTCCAACGATGGCACACAGTCAACCGCCACCAGATGCCAAATTTTCGAAATTGCTGCACAAACTAAGCTGCGTAGACATCCAGTAATTACCATGGCAGTAGGAAACGGTCAATACATTCCTCCTCTCATACCACCTCTGTAAAACCGTGTGGATGGGAAGTCGAGAAAGCTTTTTATTGCAGCAATGACCTCTTTATTGGCATTGAAAGAAAAAAACTAAACTGAAGTTATTAAAGGCAAGGTCAAAAAAGACTGTTTCTGCCGAAATTCGTGTCCACTTAGGAATCAAATGAAGTACAACAGTTCAAGAGTCATGAAAAATGTACCTACTCATTAAAAATATGCACTCCCGTTTCCCTAGGCGTCTTTCAAGTTTGTGAATCCCTTTTTGTGAAAACATTTTGGCTTATCTTTAAATAAAGATAACACGAGCAGCCTGCTACTACTTCCAGTGGATGTTCCGTTTTAATTTCTTATGATTTGTAAAGGATGCTGAGCAACTTGCAGTCTAGCGTTGTCATGGTGAAAAATGATGATTTTGATTTTGACTGAGCGTGCTCGTGTTGCATGAATTTAAACACCGAAATGGATGAGCTGCTCACAGCGATTCTTCAAAGTTATTGGTTGGCCACGTGAAAGACGTCTACAATCACCCACCAGACACCATCATTGAAAGCTGAAATTCAGGACAATCTAACTATTATGCAGTTTTACGCCATCAACTTTTCATCTCGAGACATGATTTACTTCAGGGGAAATTTCTTGTTGTTGGCAGGCAGAGGTGAGAAATGGCAGAGAAAACACGTTTCAGTTTGTTTTGCTTTGTCAAAGCGTGGAAAATCCGAGCATTGAGTTGTGAGGTGTATCATAATTGCGTTTAATCTCCTCATCTGTAATCCGTGGATTCACATTCGTTAAATCACGGACAACAACTTGGCCAGTGGCGGAAGGCCACCCAAAGATAATTTCACCGTTTAGATTAGAGAAGTTGTTTCGGAGTCGGTTAATTAACTTTTAGCTGCTTTAAGAGCCCAAGCACGATTAAAATAAGCTACCTAAAGAGTTTTTGTTGCATTTCCAGCACTCGTTTTCTTTTTTGAACTAATTACATACAACAATCAGACGGAAAACAGTTCACATTTCATTTCGAGGATTGACCCATCGCGTAAACGGACGAAAAGTAACTTTTAAGGCTACGCTTATTCACAACGCATTGACAAAATTATGAGAAAAACCATTAGCACAGTCTAACATGCAAACCATAACAGCCAATGAAAATCTGGCACGAATCAGCCAATTGTAAGGAAACTAAATGCCAAAATTTGGAGATCTAGATGGCACTGGCATCTGATGAAAAATTATTTTCAATCAAATTATCGTTTCCTGTTTCTGCGATTTGAGCAGTTCATTTTACTAATTAACCATGCATTTTACATTCAAACTCCTACAATGTTACATTAAAACATTTGGAACGTAGTGTATCAGTGCACGCATGTTCTGTTAATAAAAGATAGCCGCGCACAGAGGAAGACAGATGGTAGTTTGAAAAACAGCATGAATTATTTGTTGGCAAGTTTGAATGCTCAGGAATTGTTTTAGTTCACAAACATTAGTCCCTACCTACGCTGATAGTTGGCACAGGGTCTTCGTTTAAGGCAGCTTTTTAAAACGCGCCATTGCTATTGGCTGATTACTTTGAAATGGAGTTTAGTAATGGTTGAGATGTGTTTCACTGATTATTAAATCCACAACCAGGCACTTCACTGAGCAATCTACTCGTAATTGTAGCATTGGTCTGTGATATGTTGTGGATTTCGATTGATGCAGACATCGTAAATGATGTGATCGCTAGCCAGTACAAATAAATAACACCACGTCGAACTATTGCTGTTGGTTAATTAGCTACTTACTTAGTGAAGCATTCATGCCTGGTCTGTAAAGCTGCCAAACGACTTTAGTGTTTCTGTCATGAAACGAGGACATTCGCATCTTAAGATTACTCCGTCAGGTCTCCCTTTCAAACCGTACTGGTGTTTCCCCTTCAAGTCTTTCAGTTGATGCCAGTGAAAGCCACAGATAAATGGGGCCAAAGTCACAGGACCTAAATTAGGACTTGAACAGGAAATTGTGGTGCCTCTTGAGACTTCACGACCCTCGATACAGTTTGCGCATTTCAGGCTGCAATGTTTTAACTACCTCGAAATCCCCTCTGAGGCAGCCCTACCGTTTTGTCCACATTTCATGCATAAATAAACCCCGCTAATCCTCTATCTTAACACTTAATGATTCATGCATCCTGCTGTTCCCAAATACGAGTTTGTGTGAACGGCAGCGGCAAAGTACACCAAGATCCACCCAGTCTTCGTGCTCTTATCTAGGTACTTGAAGTGAGACCCGGCCACAACGGCAACAGTTAGTTGCTCCGGGGTCGGTGTGAGGCTCCCTAAAACCTAGGTGTTTAGCAGTGGACAAAAAATCGTCTGAATTGCCAGACATCCAAGGCAAAGAAGTAGGGCACGACCCTCCTTGTTCAAACTAATGTTCCATACGCAATGTCCAACCATGCAACCCACTTCCACAATCGAAATATTTTCGTGTCCGTAGAAATTGTGTCGACCGTTCACCTGATTACGACGCGGTTTCGCAGCTAATAAAATTTTGTGCTGGAACGGTGGTGAAAACGTTTATGGACAGATAAACTGACTTATTTGGTGTCGCTTCAACCATCGCCACAGATCTAATCAAGCCTCTTCCAAATTCCCACAATATGCTTGAGAACGAATGACACTCAAACGGTCGTGGCAGAACGGCTTCACTGACTACTGAAGGCCACCACAACAGCTGCCAGTGACTCATTCCTTTGGACGCACGACGTACCCATAATCCAGACATTTCAGAGAACGGAAACAGGAACAAAAGCTCTTCATTATCAAACGCTGCGGCACAAACAACGCCGGGCTTGCTGAGCGCCTCAAGGCGGCTTTCCTCGGCAAGGGATCGCTACCAAAAAATAATCCAATGCTCACTCCTTTCGAGGGTAGACAGACGGTACGCTGACCACCCCGGTACCACGCTCGAACACGATCCAGCCGTTAGCACAGGATTTCCGGTTGATGAAAACGAAGAAAATGCCTGTCGATTACAATCATTAAGTCAGAGAGCTGTGCCGATCAGCAAGCGAACACGCCCACCAGGCATGTCATGCATTCCTCAGTTAAACAGACGTCATGCCACACGAAATCACCACCCCCTTACTGATACAGTAAACGAGTCACAGTCGGTTTGGTTTTTGCCAACGCTACAACACCACCAGGTAAAAAGACAGGGTGCAGCAAAATAGCTATTTGTGGAAGAAACAAATACAAATTAAGCCTTGTTCTTTTTGGGATTGACAGGAGACGGCGACAAGGACAACTTCCGCTTGGAGCCTTTTCCCGCGACGCATTTGGCGCAGAGCCAGCCAGTGGGGGCGCGACCGATGAGAGGTGGCGAGTGGCAGAGTTGGTGGTAGAGGCCGCGACACCTCGAGCACTCGACCAGCACGTTGTTGGTCTGCGAGCCGGCATCCTCGGCCGCGGTCATGCGCCCACACACGCAGCACATGAGGTCCGCGACCAGATCCGCCATCGCCTCCATCGCCACGGGAGGGGAGCTGGCGCCGCCGATGTTGGTCGGCACGACGACCTGCGGCTGCTCGGGGATGATTGTCTTGCCCTGGCATACCACCACTGGTATGAGCGGTACTAGAATCAAATAAAAGGCGGTTTCTCAGCTAATAAAATTTTGTGCTGGAACGGTGGTGAAAACGTTTATGGACAGATAAACTGGCTTATTTGGTGTCGCTTCTGCCATCGCCACAGATCTCATCAAGCCTCTTCCAAACGGCCGTAGCAGAACGTCTTCACTGACAACTGAAGGCCACCACAACAGCTACCAGTGACCCATTTCTTTGGACAGGACAACTTTGTGCGGTGTGGCGTGAGTATTTGAGGTTAGACAATAACTGTTTACAACGTCGAAGAGCCTGAAACACCGATTTAGGTTGCTCAACACTACGCAACAACATTGACCAAAACTCATGCCTAGAGATTTCAGTCGCCTTCTGATACATTACGGCCTCAGGTTAAATCAGTGTCTAAATGCATTAGCAGTTATCTAGATACGCAAACGGTTCTCATTGGTGGTAATTTGAGTGACTTGCCCGTTGGGCATTTGCAGGCCTGTGTTTCCGTTCTGCTCCAGAAGTGGAACAGAAACGAAGGATCGACGACAGGAATAATTTAAGCACGCCTCTTCACCACAAAAACGTTTCACCAAACAAAGCGTCAAGGCTTTGACACGCCGCCGATTCCAAGAAAACTTCAGCTTGAACATGCAACACGACAGCCAGTTTCATCCACCACTGTAAATCAACAGGTTCATGCAAATGCTGTTCAAGACCTGGGGGATCAAGGTCATTTTACAACTATGGAATCAATCAGATTGCTGCAGATACTTGTGTGCTAAGTCCACAAAATTCCACAGGACGAGATCCACAAAACTTGGCATCGCCCAGAGATCAATTGCAAAGATGCTGTGCGGTGCCCGACTAAGGCCATATCACCGCTGCTTGCTCAACTCACCGGGCGAAGAGTTACGGCCACAGTGAGAAATTATCCCAGATATTCCAGCACCTGCGCGGAAAGGATGTCGCTTTCCCAGACAACATTACTTCGATGTGCTGCAGCACTCAGTCTACGAGGACTATTCAGCAACATGCGTCAAAGGCGGATGATATTTGCACGAAAATCACCGAAGACTTGCACCAACTTGTTTGCTGCGTCATCAGAATGCGGCAGTGTACCCGAAAAAGATTTCGGGTACTAACCCTTATGTTGCCTTAGATGGCCTCCGTTTAGTGTAGACTTGATTAATCGTGCATGGCTTGAATACCAATAAGGTGAATTGTGAGAAAGTGTTTCGGAATTTCGATTGGATCGGCTCACCACCGACCGGTGCAACCATTTTAAAGAATATAGACCAGGATTCACTTTAGTATGCGCATCAAAATTGTGAAATGTTAGTTAATATCAGTTCCATACGCAAGAGCCGCATAAACACACATCGGACAACAGTTGAAACTACCTCTGTATTTACAGGTTACATCTAGGTGATTCGAATCCTCGTAATCTTTACGATTTCGCCGTTTTCCGAGGCGTACGGTGAAGCTCGTGGAAATGGTGTAAGAACTAATTAAACTCAATGTGGGAGGGATGGGGCAAGGATATGACCCTGTGCAAAGGGCTTTGAATGTGTCCCAGCCAATGACCAAGCAATATCTGGACATCGATTAAGATGAATCAAGATGCATAAACACCAACGGAGCTGTCATTGGGCGGTCTCTAAGATTGTGTGTCCAAGGGAGGCACTGGACGCATTCCAGCTATCTCCAGAGTTGGTTTACGCAAGAAAAATACCTACCAGATGCGGAGCCCGACGAATTTCGAACTTTGGCGGCGGGGGAGGCAGCGGTGCTGCTGCCGTTGACACTGCCAGCCACGTCAAACAGATTGATTAAACTGGCACGCCTCGGGAGAGCCGACGAGGTACTGGAGTTCAAGTCGCTCTGGTCCAAACGCGGAGAGCGAGGGGGCGCGGCCGATTCCGCTCCCAACGACGTCATCTTCGAACGCGCGGCGCCGCGCTATGATTGGTTTAGCCAAAAGGGAACGATTAGGCAAAATACGGACGGTCTTTTAGCTTGTCCGTTTCCCAAAACGGCATAGCCTCGACTCATTAGCAGCATAAACGGTAAGAATGGCGTAAGTGAAACAGGCGTTACCTGACTGTGGCACTCATATTGCGTGTGGATGGACGGACTAATTGAAATAAACCACTTGCATTAAGGTCGCAGCAGGCGAAATCTCACACCTGCCAAGATTGTACACTAGGTTCCATGTCAGTGATTACATACACAGTCAGATACAATTAGCGAAAACATTCATTATCGAGGATAGGTGGATAAATAAAGGGCACGGCACAGTAGTTTCACTTAAGAGAAAAAAAAACAATTTACTACTTTGACCAATCATAAAATCGCATCGAATGCAGATTTCCTAGGTAGGGATATACAAAAAGTACCAAAAGTTACAGATGAAGGCGAAGATACCGCGCAATAGACAGCACACGTTGAGGCTATCGAGTAACTGTGACACAACCTGAAACTAGCTCTCATACCAATGCCCGAAAATCCACTTAGGTGCGCACAAAGCGTAGTGGACACACCCACCTGTCAGCCAACTGCCAGCAGGTTCCGCAGACGGTGAAAGGAGACAGTTTAGCGAAACAGGACGGCGTACGAAGTTGTCAAGCGCGAGCCCACTGACAGAATAAGGAAGCCTACATTTGAACAGGCTTAAAGCCCAAGATTGCAGGACACGAATTTACCTCGGCAGCTACAAGGCCACTTATTTGCGTCCGAATAGTCGGGCGTCCACTGCCTCTCTTAACGTCCGATCGTGCACCCTCGTGGATCAGCCTCCCCTGTTACTCTAAGCCAGAATTTTATTGGCTGATAGCTTCAATTGCGCATGTCGCTCCTGCACAAATCTAATTATCCCCAGGAATTGTACGCAAAGCACACACACTATAAACAAAACAGGGTTTAGACATCTAGTAGACGACAGTTTACCAATCATCTTTGGTATTCTTTCCGCATATCTGAATAGCGTAATCGGCTCCGATAACAAGTTGAAAGCCGCAATAGTTTTTTTTAGGCCAAGATAAAGATTTCTGCGAATCTAAACTTAGTGCTAACAATAAGTAGGACCGCAGATATGTTAAATTGAGTGGAACTTGAAGTTAGAGCATTCCAGGTACTAAAACAGGCATCGCTTGCATAATCGAACGTGGGCTCACCTCACCAGCAGACTCGTCCCTGGTGCTCTCGGCTCGAAGCGCCTCGGCAAGAGTTGTGCGCAAGACAGCCGCCTCGTTCTCGCAGGCTTCCTTGTAGAACCGACGCAGACGCGCGGCGTCCTCTGGCTTCTGCGAGTAAAACAGTCGAAGACCCTTGGTTAGCCAGGCCTCAGTAGCGTTGGTGCCGGGGGTGGACATTTTTCTAAAGTGCAAACCTGAAAGAAACCTCGAAAGTAGGATGCAGTTTCCAATGCAGACAACGGACACGCCATCCAAAATAACCAGTGTTTAGGCGGCAGGGAGAGGCAATTAAAGACGAAAGATTCATTCAGAATTGAACAAAGATGATTTGCGCAGAAATAGTGGCTCTCCCAATCTAGAAAGACGGCTCGCATTTGGGCACCTAATTCTGGGTTTCCATTTTAGAAATCGCAAAGCTCAACTCCTAGCCAAATTAAGGGGACGCTTTTTCGCAGCAATTCAACAACTGCATGGCACTGACAGATGCCATTGTTAATTTTTACTTATAATGACTTGTGAGCGGGAATTACAAATCCAATTTCGAGCGCTGCTGTGGTTAAGCCCGGCTGAACAATACAATTTGGGGGAATTATAAAAAAAGTAAGCGTTTTCAAGAACACATCCCTGAATTAAACAGGCATAGGGCTCTTCGTCTGTTGAATTAAATTCAGAGCAAGAACACGAAGCTTCGAACATCCGTGCAGATTGTGGCGATTTAATGCGTATTCCCTTTCGGTAATAGGAATTAAAATTGCGCTACAGGCAACACCAACAGCGAAAAAGAAGTCATTCATATTAAGGTGTATTTGAAAACCCATAAAAAGTGAAAGGAAGTGCAACAGAAGAAGGGAGAAGTCACGGTAGATATTAGTCTTCACCGGCAAAGACTTCTTTAATCCGGCGGATAAACTTCACACGGATTTCGGTGACTTTGTCACCTCGAAGTTGGTCTTGCACAAACTTCGCGTCGACCTCTAATTGTAGCTAAAAGAACATTAAAAATAGGTACAGGAAAATGAACAGACGGCGACATTACAGGGCGATTCCTACTTTATAGAATACTGGCAAAAAAATGTCGTCTATCTTCCAAGTAAATCCGACTTAAAATAGACAACAAATACTGAAGAAGATGGCACAGAATCGTGACGAAGTGGCCTTGATCTCCTTCAAAAACGCGCCAGCAGTGCTACTCACTGCTTACCGGAAATGCTGTGGAACTCCTCAAGTTGCTGGATGTCCAACTTGCATTCAGGGTATGGCAATGGTCAACGACAATCAACGCATTCGTCAGGAGGCAGTATTGAATTTACTTCTGCCTCGAAGTTGCTTCATCTCGCTTAGGCAGGAGGAGTGACACACATCAGTACCCTGCGACGTAATGCAAAAGACCACTGACTATCGATGCGTAGACGAAGATTTACCAGCTGTGGCATTCAATTGCTCAAGATAGGAACCAGCTGCAGAAATTCACGGCGCTTCAAATGACGTCCTTCTTCTAGCACTCTTTCTCACTGATCTAACGGACCGAGAACCCATAATTATGCACACTTATTCCGCCACGTTCTACCAACAGACCTTCTTGTCCCGAAAATATCACCAGGCTATCACGTTTGCTTAAAATATTTTCTATACCAAGAGACCACCACTTCAACACGGAACTCTCGTAAAAGATCGAGAAGAATTTGGCAGCTAAACACGGATACGGCTGGGCTTAATTCTGTGGCAGACTTATACAAGGCTTTTAGCGTCCTGATTCCAATGTTATTAATGGGTTAAAAAAAATTTCATGAAAATAGTACCAAGCTTGTGAAACAACATGAACCATGGAACATTGAGGGTATTCCATGACGAGATGTTACAATTGTGAGGACTATAGAATAGACAAAACTCACATTATGAAGGGCTCCACGAATAGCACCAGCGAACACATTGCAATAGAGAAGTTTGGAATGCTCAACAGGCAGGTCGACGAATTCGGTGAGAGGGTTCGTGTCAAAAATGAGGGAGAACTCATCGCCCGCGGGACTGAATTTGCTCACAGTCGGTGAAATACCCAAAAACAGCTTGAAGCCATTCACTACCTGGGTGGCAGTCTCTTTGAAATCGCTACAACGTCCCTGGTTGCCTCTGGCGACAAAGTCCTCTGCAAGCTTTTCGCCAATGTTGTACCCACTGTGAGGAAATTACATCTGGTCATTTTATTGTGCACGCAAACCATAGGTAACACATAAGACATTTCATCAAGTATGATTAGAATCTTAGCTAGAATAAATTCATCAGGGACTTTTAACTAACATTGTATCGAGCTGTTCGTTAATAGCTTCGTCCGATTCAAAATCCTTTACGATCTGGGCGACGAGTGAACCGTAGGTGAGAGTAAATAATTCAGAGTTCTGGAACAAGAATAGAGACAAATTGACAACAGAGTTGAAGCCCTTAATATAGAAATGCTGCAGGAGCAACACAAAAATTTTCGCAAGCAGAAAAATTTGACTTTAAATGCCACTACTTTCGGTTGACAATAATGGCGGGGTTTATATAAAAAAATATTTATATTCGCATCACGCTGATAGAAACCTATATATACCATGCGCAGCTGTTCTGGGGCCTTAGAAGTTTGGCGAGACATTACAAGTAGTCGCCCTAATCAGAAGCACTAATTTTGAGACTGCAATTGTGCACACGAATATCCACCAATCATATGACAAATGAAACGAACATGTAAATAAAAAGGACAAGCCAAAGAAGGAATGTTAACTTCCAAATAAATTTAGCTAAATGATTTAATAATAACTTAATAACATAACCTCTAAATGCCTTCAATCAAGTAAATTAAAGGTATTCCAGAATCACAAGAAATATACGATTGATTTTTCTCTCATTATATTAGCCAATTACGTCAGAGTCTGGACAGTGATAAAATTAGTTTCGTGTCTGGTTTGGTAACACTTGTGATGAACGGTTAGTGTTTTCTACCTATTTTAATCTGTAACTGTTTTGGTCAGTTTGTGATTTTAAAACTTCTAAACCATATGTAAATTAATGTAGTGTGTACAGATTTATGTCTCCTCTTTCGGTATTGTGCCATATCGCCGTCAAGCGAAATCAAAATTGCAGTCCTAAAGTACACTTGGAATATCGACATCTTTATGCTTTTTAAAATATTCTTTAAGCGAAGACTGGTACGTTAGTTAACGTTTAGATTGTAGTTAATTCATCGTTGAATGATGAACCCTACGTGGTGTCATGCTTTTAACCTAGTGTGTATAATTCGTATTTTCTTTAGAAGCTATCTTGGAACTGCGTCAGATCCGTGAAAATAATCTTCGTGAGAGTGCAAGAGTTGTGGAATTATGGATTTCGTATATAGAGCCAAAGCTCCATAGACTAGGCCAAGAAAGTAAGATTGGGCTATATTCTCTACTCAATTTTTTTTCGGATGAACTTTCTTACTTGCGCTTTTTCAATTTTCAGAGTGGACTCTCTTGGAACAAGTGTTGATCGCTGCTTTAGACGTTGGTAATTTGGACATCGCGCAGGTACGTTTGTTTGTGAATTTCCATGCTTTTCATTTTGTCGATCATAACAGAGACTCTTTTATTGACTCTTAATTCTTGGTTTTTACTGTCCGTACTTTTCCCGTTGTCTCAAGCCAGTTCTGCACTCAGACATTCGTTTTTGTTCCTGAGTACCCGTTAAACTGATGATTAAGTCAACTGGAAACGTGGGTTGAGTGCAGACGTACTGGTTTTCGCCTTCATCCTGTTTTTACCGTCGTGCACATCTTTACATTTGAAAGCGTACCATCTTTTTGGCATTGTTTTTAAATTGGCAAAATCCGTTATTATTTGTGACGTCCCTTGACAACTCATTGATGTACTCAATATATTTCGACTTCAACAGTTTGCCTGTCTACAAGGCTTAGAGAGTTTGGAGGATATAAGCACGTCCTACTCGTTACTTTTCCAGGACGTTGCAGCCGCTCCTAATTGCCCTGAAATGTGTGGGCCGTCATGACAACTTTCAGTAGATGTTGGATAATCTCCCTTTTTAACACTGAACTCTTCGTAGGTTTGCCTCGGTCATCTACGAAGACGCTTTCCCGACAGCTCTCGCGTCAATCGTCTTTACGGAATGTGTTTGGAAACGACACATCGGTATTTACTACTTTCCTATTCTGTTATTGAATTATGAGTTTCGTAGTTCTTTGAGTGGAGTAGATATGACTTCGACATTTTCCACTCCTCTTTTGGAAATACCTTAATAAAAAAAACATTAATTTTCACCCTATTATATTGCCAAACCATGACACCACTGTAACAAAGTCAACTTTAAGTGGCACGAATTCGTAAGCGAAAATCAAAATTGTTTCTCTTGCATCTGGATTTGTTGGGTTACTGCGTATATTTACAATTTGGTCACCCTGATGCCAAAATCGTGCTGTTTGTCTCTTTAGATTTGACGAAGCCCGCGCTTTATACTCCCAGGTCTTGGAAAAAGACACGACCAACTCGGTGCGTTTAACTGACACACTTTTCATATTGTCCACAATTGCGACCAGTCCTTTGTATTTTGGCTCACTCAATTTGTCCTTTAGATTTTCCTTCAAACAAGTGTTTAATTAGTAGCACTTACTTTGATAAGCAGGAGTTCCAGAAGAGCTTGAGTACCCATTGTGAGCTAAGCTACACTGCATTTTTTCTCTAGCACTCCTCCTGGGCCACTTTACCTCTGGTTAACCACCCCTAGCTAATGCGACAACCTCGGTCGGCACCCGGGTTGTTAAGGTTTTAACGGGGTCACTGCGCAAACTATCACGGATGTTCACATTGCAAAAGTGCTAAACAAAAAGTCTAACGTGGTTGACTGTGATGCGTGGCCGCTGCACTGGCGCTGACTGTTTCTTTCATTTGTAGGTCGCACGGAAGCGCCTGATTGCCATTCACAAGGCACAAGGACGCATCAACGAGGCTATTGAGGAGTTGAACAAGTACCTTAAAATGTGCGTTTCGCGTTGTGCATACTTAGTGATGACACTTCAAATGACTTGGGTAGGCATTAGTCACGGGAGTCAGTACGCGCACCTCTAATGGCAATGCACATTGACACTGTGGCCGATCTCAAGCTAGACTTGGCCAGCTGTTGTTATTTCAATTCCAGTAATCAGCTGATTTTAGACAGACAGTCTTTTTGGATAATTGAATGCGTGTTTTTGGCTTGCCTGTTATGTGCTTACTCAAATATGGTTAGCACTTTGTGTCAATTCCACATGCAGACGACAAATTCTTAATGTGGAGCGAGACTCCGCATTGCAGCGTCCGTCTTCAACTTGCGTCGTCGAAACACAATCTAGCATTCCAGCATTTCCCATTCTTCCAGAATCTTTCTGTCTCGCTTAGGGCAGGTTGAGCTTTTTTTAATTATAATGGCAAATTCTTAATTTCAACTGTTGTACCTGTTGATCTTCCTTTACCTTCATTACTTACGACCAAATGCAGCCCTCTAAAAGCCTTCCTTACCAAAACAAAGTAATTTCAGTCGTCTCCGCATAAATGCTACCTGTTTGTCCTAGTGAATGACATCATCTCATTAGGTGTGCTTAAACAGTGGGTCACTGGAGCGTCAAAGGTCGCGCCTCGTGTTGCATTTCGCCAGTCACCGCAGCCGCACGCTTGTGTAAGCTGTGGCTGAACTTGACCCGATAAATTGAGACTTATTGTCACTGGGTTCAAAGCCCTTAGTGTAAACCCAGAAGCACCGTGTCTGATGGCGTGAGTAGAGCAATTGTAAATTCCACGCATCTCATTCACCAATCTATAATCACTTGTGTTTGCTTGCAGACAAGACCGAAAAATTTCGTCTAAGTGGTGGTTTAGCAGGTTTGTTCTCATCATATTTAGCCTCATAACCTCCCTGATCCTGCCCCTCGTCCTGTGTCCATTTTGAGGAGAATAGAGTGGCACTAGTCACGTGTGCTTCGTTCCTTTCGTTGACATCTACATTGTCTAACTCGTACACCTTTCACCCACTTGTAGATTCATGTCGGATAGCGAGGCGTGGGGTGAGCTTGGCGAGATGTACCTTGCACAAGGCGACTACAAACACGCGGCCTTTTGTGTGGAAGAGCTCATTCTGGCTAATCCCCACAACCACCTTCTTCACCAACGCCTAGGGGAGGTGAGTCGTGTTTGGACGAAGCGTTGTTCTCGTCAGTTTAACAATACACTCGATGCGTTGTTCACGCCTTGGCTTTTCAGATCAAGTACTCTGAAGGCGGTCAGGAGAATCTGGAAATTGCGCGGGCCTACTTTGCCCACGCCTGCCGTCTCAACCCCAAAAGTGTTCGCGCTCTCTACGGCCTATTGCTAGTGAGTTGCTCCTCTCAGTATCACACATAAGATTGCGGACAAATATTCGCGTTTGGCCTACTTTAAAAACTCACCACGACGCCATAACGTTCGACCTGAGTCCGCACTCGTTCCTGAAACTAAATTACGCATCACTTTCATTGTATTAGCTCTTTCTACTGTTGAGCTGACTCCATTTTTTCGATTCGATGATCTGCTTGATCACGCTGGTTGTATTCGTCTTTCGGATGCACCTGTGTTATCTTCATAGCTCTCACTGTCTGACTTTGATCATCTTCAAACATTTCCGAAACCCGATCCTACAACCAAAGAAATTTTCTCTCAAACACAAACGCTGCTGTGCACGTAAACTATTACATGAGCTTATGAACCACTAATTAGCTCCTGGGATCGGAGACAATTTCGTAACGCTTTATCATTGACTGGAACTTTGTAATTGGTTGTACCATCCAGCCAATCCGGGAAGGGATAGCCTAATTATATTGTCACCTAAAAAGCTAGCTTATCATCGTTTGCCAATGTCTGTCGTTGCTCTTTAGGTTGCCACGAACCTCTCCGGAAAGCTCTCTGAAAAGGCCCTAACAGCCTTGGCGGACGAAAGCAACGGTCAGCAGCGCGACCAACAGTACACCCTTATGGCGGACGGGAGTGGGGGCAAAGGAAAAGCCCCCTTTGACTCTAAGCGCGAAAATCAGCGCCTCATTGGATGGGCTACTCGTCAGCTGGCCGCCATCTACTTGGTAGGCAGACTTAATTATCCTCGTGACCTTAACTCCGATTGTCTAGACTCTGATAGATTACTAGGCCACGGGCTATTGAGTCGTCTACGGGCTCTTTCGAATTCATCCTTATTCCAAATTTAGATTTTAAAACCTAACGATCTATTTCAAGTCTTTTTGGATTGGTGATGTTTTGCACCGTCGAAATCTGTGGTTCGTTGTTGAATGAATGTCGGTTGAAAACATTGCGAAACTGAAATTATCACCGTAACTACAAGTCCTAAGACTCCTCCCTCCATTGCTGTTTCCGATCAATTAAAAGTTCAAAACACAGGGATTACTTGTCGTCTCCGAAATGCGTGTGTGTGTGCGTGTGTTGTAATTGTGTGTCACATTTCTTCATTGTTGCCCTGCCGCTCTGTTACCTAGGAGGCCGGTCTGGAAGTGCCAATTTCCATTACCCCTCTCACCAAAGGCACTTCTGGTAAAACCAACTCTTCTTCCGCACTGGGAGGCAAGTCTCCACATCGGGGCGATTACGCGGCTCTCCCCTCTATGCTCGAGGGCCTGTCGATGACGGCAACGCAGGGAGAGTCGCCAGTCCAACGCAAGAAGCTGCATTAAATCGCCTCGTCGGTGTAGTCCTTTTTTTCCTTAGTGTGTCCTCGTTCTGCTTGTGTAACTAATTTGCATCTACTCACTTTACAACTGTTGCCTGCCTATCTGTGGTTTGTACAGTTTGCGCTGGCTGTGTTTAATTTGTCCTGCGCTTGATTACAGCTTGGTTTGATCCTCGGTGCTTATCTGCTAATCTGGAAATCGTTAGGTTGCCGGTATTCTATGTAGTTGCTTAATGTTGAGTTATTGCGGAAAATGCGATAAAACTTCGTGAATTAACACAATTTTTGCATTTTGTGTTAAATTAATAATTGGCGGATTGTTTCGTCGGGCAACCCACACTACCTCAGCTTTCTTAAATTTTGCCCGATTAATTATCTCTGAGTCACTTTCCTGGTGAAATCATGAGTATTAAAAAAAGCGTGTAAAAGATATGCATAGTAAAATCCGAATCGATGATCGTAGTGCCTTGTGTCTGTATAACCATTCTCAATTTTATAATCTTATGAGTCTGCGCATTTGCCCACACTTTCAACCTGGTGGCCTCCCTTACACCCAACCTGACCAAACATTCCCCTTACCTACATCAATTGTCTCCATTAATTCATACCCTCTTTCTCTTTGCTTAGTGTTTTAAATGCACCAGGTTTTGCGATGTTTCGATTATTTTGTCTGTGGTTGAAAGTAAACGATGATAGTGTGACTACAATTGCATGACAGTTTAACAGTAATCACTCCTACAAGACGTATACAAGGCAACGGAGGTGTTTTACGATTTGGTATCTAGAACCAAGCTGTAGCACTATCACACAACCCTCTAGCTAACAGGCGGTTTAAACCCGAGAAGAAGGGGAGAGGGGTGACAGACAACACGACCATTTATTGGTTTCATGTCACCCAAGTGGCTTAGTGCGTGTGCATTTATACCTCAGATGTGTGTAATAAGTGTGCTAACATCGAGACCTAGGTGTGAGGATAATCAAGAAAAGTCGTTCGTGCTAATGAGGGCGAAGTTGAAGATTTGTGAGGCTGGCGACATGCTACGAATAGGGGCCTTCGTGTCGGATTCACAACAATTATTCGACATGATTTTGCTTCGAATTTTTGTCCTGTGACTGCCATGTAAATAATATTTATTGCTTAAAAAATAATGACGATTTGGTAGTATTACCTAATTGTTCACAAGGATAAGCATAGAAATGCTTATTAAATATGTAGATGCCAAAACTAAAGATCTATGAAAACAATAGTTGAACGATGGTTTATATATCCTTTAAAAATTACTGAAATTGCATATTTTAACCACCGAACTGTCAATTCATTGATTTCATAATCAAATGGTTTGCACAAGAAAATTAACTTAGGTTACTCGCAGCGAAGTCTCCTATATAAAATTTGCTTACAAGTTAAAACTATTTAAGAGTGAATTGCTAAATGTAGGATTAAAACTTTTGTTCAAGTAATTAGGATTATAATTTTGAGCATAAAATATATCTTTAAAATGCGGATGAAAATATGATCACTTAATTGAATCAATCGTTTAACGCATTGTATGTTGATATTTTGTATTTTTAAGGTCACTTGCGGGAGTTTCGAGATTTTAGGTATCGTGTCTTGGGGTTTGCCTGTAGTTTTCTTAAATGAAGGTGGTAGGAAGTGTCCACACGACACAAATAACTTTATGACAAGTGAATAATTGTGTTAATAGTATACGTGCTTGGTATTTAGTAGGCAATGCTGAGCGTTTATCTAAATATTAATGCGCTTATGCTTATTTTAAGCTAAGAGAATCCTAACATCGATTTCTCTGTTCATCGTTAAATGCTTTGTCTCTAGGTAACATGCCAAACGCTTCCCCATCACTTTCGTATCTTGCCATAATAGTATTCGTATGGATCGTGATCCTGTCTGCATCCATTCACCAGATTGATGAAGGCCACGTTGGAGTCTATTATCGGGGTGGTGCCCTTCTGAAGCAAACCAGCACTCCTGGTTTTCATCTAATGATACCGTTTATTACTAGTTACAGAGCCGTCCAGGTATTTTTCTATGTATAATATCCTTTAACTTGATTTGGCTGCTGGAGTTCAACCTCGACTTTCAATTTACGCATAACTCATATAAGCTTATTACCATACCCTTGTCGTAATTTGTGAACATTGTGCTGATGTTTTGCGTTATTTGACGACATTGTCTTTTTCTATTAAACCACTGTTGCCGATTCTTGGAAAAAGTGACCTTAGTTCTCTAAATGACAAATCTTGATAAATGACAGTTCTGCATTTTACATTGCTCTTTGGAGTTTTGTTCAAATTACCTTTCAGACACCGAAATACTGCTTGAATCCCATTCTAAAAATCGTTTATTTCGTTCATAATTTGTTATACCTACTTGTTATTTCTACTTAGATTGAATTCACCTCACCGATTTCATTGGGTAGTTTTATTGTAGTATTTTAATACCTATTGATACCACCGAAATTCTTGAATTTAACCACTTGACACTAAGTCTGGTGGGTTGTACTTTTGGCTGCATAAACCTCGATGCGTTTTGCATTTGCCTTTGTTTATACTTGTATACTTGTATGAAGCATAACTTGCATTTTGTACCTTCTAGACGACCCTTCAGACCGATGAAGTCAAAAATGTACCTTGCGGGACAAGGTTTGTTCATATTTCAAAATTAATTTATTCTAAATATCTTTATTTGTATTTAAAGTACTTTTTCAATTTTAGCGGAGGTGTAGTTATATATTTCGATAGAATCGAAGTGGTTAATCTATTATCAGCTGCAAGCAGTAAGTTCCCGATAGACGCATAATACTTTGGTTCTATCGAACCTTCAACTCTTGCGTGCCTAATTTTCTTTTTTAGCTTATGACATTGTCAAAAATTACAGCGCTGACTACGATAAAACCTTGATTTACAACAAGGTTCACCACGAACTTAACCAGTTCTGCAGTATCCACACACTGCAAGAAGTCTACATTGATTTGTTTGGTAAGTAGCCGTTGAAATATTTTTGTATCTGTCTGCATATATGTGAAACCTGATTGTTGAAGTAACCTACAGTGCTTTTGAGCGATTACTCACCATTTTAAGGTTAATCGGGCAACTATTTCGAACAGTTAAAATGGCATTAACACAACCGAGCCCCATTACTCTTGTGCCTCCTTTGTCAAACAACAAGTAATCCTAGAATGTTGTTAATTGTCATCGTCTACGTGCCTTTTTTTCTCATCCGTAGATCAGATTGATGAGAATTTGAAGAAGGCGTTGCAAGAAGACATCAATATAATGGCACCCGGCCTATTCATCCAGGCAGTGCGTGTCACCAAGCCCAAAATTCCCGAGAACATTCGCCGCAACTACGAGTCCATGGAAGCCGAAAAGACAAAGCTGCTGATCGCGGAGCAGCGTCAACGCGTCGTCGAAAAGGAGGCCGAAACGGAGAGACGAAGAGCGGTCATAGGTGCGTCGGTCCTGCTTACGTTGTAGTTTGAAGGCTCACGTTCGAACATCGTTTTCGTATACGCTTGTTCCCCGTCGAGTTCTGCACATATTTTGAGTGCTTGCGAACTCTGGTTAGTGAACTGATTCACGTAATTAACTGACAGTTGTCCAATGGTGTCAAGATAACCCTTACAATAGTAGAAATGCATGCAGACGCAGCTCCTTCACATATTTATCTGCAAAATAATTTAAAGGCTATCTTACGGTGCCCTTTGTGAAGAAACCACGCGGCTTTCACATAGTTGCTAGTGCTAATTCCAGTGGTTTAGTTGACACTTCTACATGTAGGGATTATTTTGCTCTAGTGTACGATCCATGGCAGTGACCTGTCGGCACCATCCACCAAGACCGCTCTCGTGGAGTTTATGGTGGCTCCTGTTCGGGCATGTCGTGTGTCTATTGTGATGGTGTTAACATTGACGGAGGTATGATTTACTGCGGCACTAATCTTTGGTGCTGTTATTGTTTAGTGCAGATAACAACTTATCACATACCGACAACATCAGTGGCGTGCGCGAATCGGCCACGTGGTTTGTTTATGGCAGCGCTGCGGCTAGCTCACAGTAGCCGCGCTGACTTCCTGTTAAAGTCGCTTCTCCGTGCTTAGGTACAAACAATGCTGTTCTTCCAAAAGGCACGACGTATGGTTGTTTTGAGCATTCAAAAACACCGGATATCAGACAACCACGCTGCCAGAAACGGCAGAATTGACACAGATATGACGTGACTTCAATGTCATCTTAGAGATACTTTCATCCGAGTGAATAGAACAGACACAAATCTGGGTGCTACAAAGCGAGTTGTGTTAGAGAAAGCTGACTTTACCGACAACAAAATTAAGCCAAATTTGCAGAAACCGGCTAGCCTTTTTCTCGCTAAAGCCAAGTCGAGCCAATCGGGTGTCGAGAACCGAAGCCAGCCATGCGAGAATGAGCAGAAAACTAGGTGAGTAACCTGAGACAAATTTAAGCCAGACGCACGGGAGTCTTCGCTCGAAGGGCTGTTATTTTGCGATTGACCATGTCAATAGTTTCATCGGGTTGGGTATCTGAAACATCTATTAGTTGGTCCGATGACTGCCCGTCTCGTATCAGCTGCAGTGACTCCAAACTCCCTCTGCGTCTGTAGGGATGCTCTGCATTGGATAAGTCCTGTCGACGGATGCAATGCATTTCAGTACTTCATTACCAAAGAATCTGTTTGAACCTGTACTTTGAATTAGCACCATTACATAGGCTTTTGAGGTTGCCATTTAGAGCCCAAGCTGATTTGTTTTAATTAACTGCTTGCAGAAGCCGAGAAAGCTGCCGAGGTGGCCGCTATTGAATGGCGCATGCGTCTGGCCGCGAAGGAAAACGAGCAGGCGATGGCGGCCATCGAGGATTCAATCCAACAGGCTCGGACACGCGCTGACGCAGATGCCGAGTTCTACCGCGCGTCGCGTCAGGCCGAGGCCGACGCTCTTCGCCTCACACCCAAGTACCTCGAGTTGGAGCGCTACAAAGCCATGGCGAACAACGCGAAGGTCTACTTTGCCTCGCTCTCGGGACAGAACCCCTTCTTCCCACAATCTGCTGCGTCGTCGGCAAGGGGCTCCGATTCCCCGTCTGGCGACCTCCTCGGAACGGTGCTTGAAACTGTGGGGTCACTTGGGGGGAGTGCTGGCGGCGCACTTCAAGGCATGGCCAGTGAAATGCTCGCTGGCATGTTGAACTCGGCGCTGAGTGAAGAGGCCGGTCCAAAGATTAACACCAGTGAAGTTGACGTTGCCGATGAGGAACCCTGAATTCCGTTCTACTTCTGTAACTTTCGTGTTTGTGCCTGCTCCTTTTTTACTCTGAGTTTACTTAAATAAACAGCCAGATGGACCGATGAAGGTGGCAGTAAGTGCCGTTAAGTGGTTCGTAATATATTATCACCAAAGTGCACATAAAAAGGCAAGCAATAAATGCTAACGGTAAACTGGTCAATTAGGCAAATTAGTGACAGGTACCAAGGAGACAACGTAAATGTGCAAAATGGAAGATAAAGAAGAAAAACGTGTCGTTGGTGTCTTAGTCGTGGTGTTGGTGGTTGTGCGAAAGCGAGTAGACTAGTGGTGACTGATCGTTTAGTGCTCCAGATACTGAGGAATTGAAGTGGCCCAGGAGATTGCGCAGTCATCCTGAGTAGTGTCGTGAAGCGAAGAGAAATGGACAAGTGCGGTGGCTGATGCAACTTGCCAGTTAAGCGTGAATTCCTTATGAAATAGCACAACTCGAGGTAGATAGAGAGGAGCGATGGAGTACAGGCCTATTACTGTTTTGACTTGAGCGGCAAAGCAATCATGATGGCGGCAGTTGACGACTCGTGTGCTTTCATTACTCAAGGTGAAATACACTGCATGGTGTATTATTAGTGGCAGTGTATATCGCGTTGAGTCGTAGGCGGGAAGGGGTGGAAGCAGGAGGAAGGTGTTAAAAGCGTCGGTTCGCAGGTCGAGCTCACTATTGCGAACGCATACAGAGCTGGAAAGAACACGAAGTAGACAAAACCCCAGCCGACAAGTGTTCCTTCTCTCGCACCTCCTCCTCCTACTTACTTATGCCTCAATGTCCACGACAAGTCTCCACCCACATCTCACCCCACTTCTAAGACAGTGCGTCACGCCTACTAAAGCCTTTGCACCATCACCTCAAAGTGCTCTCAGCGGGATTGTCTCCGTCGTACTGCAGCATGCATTGCCCTGCCTCGTCCATCTTGACATTTCAGCCAGCCATGGCTTGTACCCCATTTGAACTCTTGGCTGTAGCTTTGCGCTAGCATAGCATTCCTCCGCCTCCTCCTTCTCCTTATTCATCTTTCTCCTCTTATTTCAGATGTCGTCACAGGTGTCGGCGGCGTGTCTTCGTCAAGGTGAGAGCCTTCATGAGACGAGACGCAAGCTGAAGCACTCCAGGTAGTTTGGCGACTGCACCTTCCACACACCAAGCACTCCTTCCCTATTAAGACACGTCTGCAACTAATTCGGAGCGAATCACAAATTGCCACAATGCACATATAATATGACACTTTGTACCAGTAGACGAAAGGAGACAGAAGAAACTTCTTTCGGCATTATTAATATGATTTTTGGTCACGAAAGCAATCGACCACGATTAATGCATGACAAGACTTCGAGGAAACTAGATTTGATCTAAGTGAATCATTTTTTTACGTAAAACAACTTTGATTCATGCACTGTCAAGCATGCAACCCTCCTTGCTTACATTCGACTTTATTTTTCTCTTAGCCTTTTTAGGTTATGTTTCCTTATTCCCTGTTTGACCTCAATGCTGTTTCCTCGCCATATTTAAATCCGCGCGTCTGTGTTAACGGATATGATTACACTACACACATTGGACATTTCATTGGACGTGTTTTTTTACCAAGATTAAGTTAGCTACCAATCTGCTACAGTCAACTCCGTGTCTCTGCGATCCGGGAATTTTATTATCTCCACTACCTCCTTACTTCACATCCAACGTATTCGCCTCCTGCAAATCCTGCTCACTCTCATTAACACTCCTACTAAAGCGTCATTGTAGTACCTCTAAACCTTCAAAGTGAATAATACTTGAAGTTTTAGAGGTACGACTTTACGCGATGTCTTCTCATCCAACACAAACGCTCATCGGCGTCATTGAGTACAATGACAGTGACAACAAACGCGACGGCTGCGAGACACGCAAAATTAAATTCCAGCCAAGCCCCATTCAACGACGGTGCAGCAGACCCCATTGAGGTTTTGGGGAACCATACCAGGGCCGGCAATACACACTGACAAGGCCGACCGAAAGCTAAATGGTAAATGCAGATGGCGCTTACCTCAAATAATTTATTAATGCAATAGCGATGTATTTGTGCAGGATATCAAGTGGGTTTACTTAGCTTCTCTAAAAATCGATCTCTGAACGAACGTAGCTGCGTGAAGTGCGTTCCCGAAAATCGATTGAGTCGTGTTCACTCACGCTTGCCCACCGCGTTCGCTCGCGACTGCTGACTGTGCTTGTTTGGTGATCGCCATAGCGGTTTTGCGCTGGCATTTGCATTTCCGAGAGTTGAGTCTTTAACAATGCTAGGCAAAAATGAAATGGTAAGCAGTTGTGCATACGAATCTAGCGCCTTGCAAAACAGAGGCTAAGCGATTTATTACAATCACTTGAATCACGTGTTAAATGAGACAGAAGTAGAAGGAATGTAAACGGAAGATCCCCAACTGCTGGCTAGGTGTTTGGGCTGCCTCGTATAATTACAGTTCTCAAACCACTTCCTCCATAGTTGCTACTGCTGTTGTTCTGAATGAAAGTCGCAGGCTCGACCTGCGATCCGTGTATATTATTGTCTCCTCGACCTCTTTCTAGCCCTTTGCTTTTGCATTCTTCCCTACCTACTCCTGTCCACTCCCACTAGCACTCATCAACCCTTCCGTAAACGTCTAGAGGCACGAACTTTCGCAAGGCCTGTCGTCCAACTTCGACAGTTCAACGTTGACAACAAGCATGAACTAACTTCCAATTGGTACTTCTCACTTGTATCTCAATAGTATGATGCTATGCGGCTGCACAGAAGGGCAGCGTGGTTGGTGGTGAATCATGACGATTCACAACCTTCACAACAGTTTACACGCGACCATTTACCGTGTCAACTCATTCATACGGACTCCCTGTTAAGCCACTTAAGCCTGTCTGTCTTTAATATTCCCTGACTATAGTAACAAACCCCGCTAGTTTTTGTCAACTCTCAACAACACATGCAAGCATGCAAGACGCAACGAGCCAGCATACAGTTGAGCCTCCATCGACTTCGGTCATCCCATTTTTCCATGGCTACTGATGTCGAACCAAAGAAAACAGCAGTTTTCTGATATCGGTGTACTACTGCAAAGTGACTTTCACCCCTAATTGGTGCCGTTCAGAAATGAGAATCAGATCCAACTACTCGAAACCACAATGGCTTATCAAGACGTGGTTTTGGTCATCTGCTTCTAAAACACGCTTACAGTGTGCATACTTCATTGCCGTGGAACTCAATGTAAGATCACAAGCTGCTTTTTACAAAGCTTTCCCACATTGTCCGAGTAACCTACTTATGCAAGCAGGTACGTCTTTTGAATGTGAAAATTTGCAATGCCATTTAGCAAACATGGCCAAGTCAGATTCAGACAGATTCACCAGAATTGCAGCTGTTCGCATTCAACTGACCTTGCGATAATTGGCATTTGTCACGTTGTCAGCATTTGAACCTCATCGATTGTGCGCCGAGTGTAACGTCAAATCCAAGTTACAAGGGTTTAAGCGCAGTGCATTTATTTGTAAAGTTGATTGTCAGCCGGACCCCACACAAACGCAAACAATGCTACTCAAGAAAGTACTCACGCCTCTCATTGGTGTTTGTGCGTGATGCTGGTCATCCTGCCGTACATGGAGCAGGGTTGTGCTGGGTATTGCATCTGTGTACGCACTTAGAATCATCGCATCTTGCTTGACTTTACCGAATTAAAAATGTCAATGAAATGCCGCCATGTTTTGAAACGTCCGGTAAATAGTCATTTTGTGAATGATTTGCGGTGACATGAATCGTGAACTGACAAGATTTCAGGCACGTCTGATTTTGCAATGGTGAGAGGAAGAGAAGGACAGCAAAGAATGCGATTTCTTTCGAAAAGCCTCCCTTTTCTCCTCTTGAAAATCAATTTATGCCCCCAACTATTCATACATTTGCTTGAGCAACATCGATTCCACGTGAAGCATTTGAAGTCAAAATGACTAAAAGCACTCTTACTAATCAGCATCGTCATCACCTCTGCGCGTTGGTAGTCCTCCGAGACTGTGGCAACACCAGGTCGCAGTTCTTTCGCTAATGATCACATATGGTGTGGGGTGAAGTAGAATACCCGAGCCCTAATTGGAAGAAAACTGGTACAACAGAACAGGCTTTATTGACCAATCACAAGTCAGAGCCACACGTCAAGCGCCTTCCTTCCGAGTCCGCCACGCTGGCCACGCCGCCCATTATATACTGCACCTCATCCGTGTCCTTCTCTGGTTGGCTGCTTATCTTCCTCGCATGCTATTGGATCGCAGAGAGACAGAGGCTGGCTGAGGCCGGCGTAGTCCAATATGTCTGCGCCCTTATACGTCGCTACACCACACTACGTGGATTTGATCCATTGAGTTCGCTCCAAAAACGAAGCAGCTTTCGCAGAGCTGACGCAACAATGGAGTTGAAATCGAGTAAGGGTTCGTGGAAGCAGTGGTTAATTCCAACTTCGCTTGATGCAATGCGCATAGCTGCATTATGTAAGAACAATCTCTTTCCTTTAACATCGGTGGCGCAAACGAATGAGAGGACGCCTGGTAAATTTGTTCTGCGGATGCCTGTGTGGCAGCCACACAAAGTGTATATTTGTAGATTTATCCAGTCCCACTGCTGCTGCTTAAGTGTTGTCAGTAGATAGCCATGTTCATGTCACCTGCTTTGAGTTTTTTTTTCAGTATAAACGTTCGTGGTTAATGCGCCACCAATCAGAGATACATGGTGCGCTTGGTTTGAATTCACAAATGTTTGCGGCACAACCAAATTTACTGTCGGCTGCAACGTCAATTACTTTCACATGATAGCAAAAACTCAAATCAATGCATCTGTCCACACAACAATCGTGATTGAGTGGATGAGTGAGCGAGTTATACCGCGAAGAAAAGGTTTTTTTAGGATTGCGTGACTAATCTTAAGGGATTTAAACGCAGTGTAGCCAAGTCAAAGCACGCTCTTCATTCCCAACAATTTAATTCATTTATGATAATGTATCGATTTCAGTGGCAATTGAATCTGTCATTTTGCAAATGGTAATCAATATATCATATGTCCCTGGAATTTGGGCGAAACCAAATGTCAACATTTCAAACGCAGCCATCACTTTTAAGCCCCGTGGACAAAACACACAAACTGCAGAGATGCGGATTCGCTCACGTCTTGACATGTCGTAGAAAACTCAACTGAGTCACCTTCTTCCAACTCACACTCCTCTCTAATCTTAAATCGATGTTGCCCTTTACTTGCTCACCATTTTTCATTTCTGCTGGTCACCTAATGCAGAATTCAGCCACAAGGAAAGTCAGCATTTGGTCAGAAGCGATGGTTGAGCAAGCAGTGTAGTGACTCGTGTAAAAAGCGCCGGCTGAAACGTTCGGGTATGCGATGCATCAAAAACGCCCATCTGGTTATACCAATCATCGTACTACCAGGGTGCTCTACGACTCTCCAACGCTTCCATGGTCAATGAGAACGACCGATAGCCAGCGGCGACAAAACAGCACTTACACACAGAACGACTTATTATTTTGAAAATACGTATTTGCCATCAGATTCTTAACTAACAGAGAAATTAAGAGTACAACTGGAGATTTCAGGCAGATACCCTACTTTTTATTGGATGATATGGCACGTCTAACCAACTCTGGTCTAAGAATTATAAAGCCAATCAAGTTGATCTCAGATTGCATGCAGCAGATTTTGCAGAGTACATTTCAGGTGTATGCCGACCATAATAAGGAAACTTCCGTACATCTTGACAATCACGCATGATGTGTTAATAGATTTCGATCACTTTTCCCAGAGGTCATGTTCGACTTTTGTACAGAAAAGGCCTCAAATGTGGACATATCTTGTGCATAAACGTGATAAAATCAGGTTGTTTCTTGGGCTGGAGCGGGTCGGTCATGGGTGCCTGTGGGCCGTCAAATTTCACTTGATTACACTCCCCTGGAACTCTGGACGATTCTACAGGCAGTGGTCATGAAATAGTGGTTCAAAACTGATGAATGAAAAGTACTCAAACGAGAAATCCGATTGTAAGGAGGAATAAGCGAGCCAAAGTATTTCGCTATGTGGGTGTTATGCTGATCCCGTCATTACAGTCTACCTGCAAAACACGACAATTCCTTAGATCAGAAGGCCGATTCGATGCCTTTTACTTACAACCAGCAATTTGCTGCCCTTCCGCCAGCTCATCTTGGATCATATTGCTGACCTTG